CCCCCCCCCGCCCAGGGGCGGCAGCTTCCCGCTCACTAAATTAAGAGCGCTCACACCTTCTTTAATCTCATCATCTTTCAGGTGATAGCTGGTTTTGATTAGGATGAGCCAGACTTTGAAGTGACTATCCTGTGAAAATTATTCCCCCCAAATTATGCAATGGTCCCCTTTAGGATTTTAAACAAAGGTGATTTAGAAGATAGAATGGTGGCAAGAATGTGCTTCGTCAAGGTGTTGCAGAGTCACAGCCCCTTTCTTTAGGCCTCGCCTGAGCATGCGGGCAATAAACAGAATGTTGCTATTGTCGATACACACCACTCACCAGGACAGCAGCTCAAGGGCAGTGCTGCTCAAACATATGAGAGTCATTTGCAAATTTACCACTGTCACCTACATCTCCCTTAAATTTCTTTTCCTTCTTTAATAGCAAAAAATAAGATCAACTCATTCATTTGACAGTGCACTGCTCTATCACATCAAAGCTTAGTAAAGCAACATCAGAGAACATCTAAGGAAGAATTTCACTTCAACTTCTCTGAACAGAATGTAAGTCTACATGCCTGAAGTACCCCTGGAAAGGATTCTCCACCTCGTCCTATAATGAGGATACAGTTCCTTAAAGCTAATTCAACATAATTATTTGTTGAACAGAAACACCAAAACACAGGACAATACTTCAAAACACTCATGCCTCTGGTCTTCTACTCCTTCCTGATAGCAAAACAGCTCTCATTTTAACCCCTCTACATTCTCTAGTATGGCCAATTTTGACAAATTCAACAAAGCAATGTTAAAAGGTGGGTACAGCAGTTTCTCAAATACTTCATCCAGAATGTTAACAGATCTACTCCACATTTTAAAATACAGATTTAAAAAATTAACTTTTTAGCAAAAATCCTTTTTTAGGTAACTGGTCAGTTTTATACTATGAGGCATCACCTGGCAGAGTAGCACCAATGAATGCCAAACAGCAAGTAGGCCCAAGCAAACACCGTAAACATTAAGTATGTGACATTGGCCAAATCCTTAAAAAATAGTGCAGTTTTCATGCTACTCTTATTTAAGTGAATCCAGCATTTATGGTTATACTTTGTGAGCTTTACAATGCAATACCTGCTTACCTGTTTGCAAGTGCTACTTGGTATAATTGAAAGTCTTGCCTCCTTCCAACAAACTGCTCTAACCCTGCAAAAAAACATAGATATATACACAATATGAGAAATGTCAGTTTACTAAGTCAGAGCTGAGAAATGGTCAAGTGAAATTCTTTTAACACTACACAAATTTTAATTATGTTTGTATCACACCTTTTCAAATACAGCTCAGTGGCAATATTGATCAGTAATGATCTCAATTGGTGCAATAGAACTTAAAGTGGATACTTTGACTAGTTACTAATCTATGTTTTGATAATTCTACCTGAATAAAAATAATGATGATTATCTCCTTAGACAAAGTAGCAGTTCATGTAAATACTTTGATTTTTGGCTGGCAACTTGTTGGCTGGCACCGGACAGCCCCTCCCCAGTCCAATTTCTCTCCTGTATGAATATGACTTTACCATCTCATCAGCCCTGAATGTGAGGGTCATCTGCAGTTGCGTTTTCTGAGCATTCACCTTGCCAAGAGGAGCATCCCCCCACTCTTGCCTATCCTGTCTCCAGGCTTCTGAGTGTCAGTTTAGGTCCTCTCTAAAGTAAGGTTAACAGTATAGGAAACCTCCAATAAATGAAGACAAACTGAAAACCTCCTGCCTGTGAGTTGTGAGTTAGTCACAGTGTTAATGGCATCCTGGCTCAGTCTCAAACTGCCATCACTTTGTGGGATTCTTCTCAGACAAGCTCGACCCCAAGCTCCACGGAGTGAGGTGACCTTCCAAAGGGTGGTGCATACCAACCATCAACCACACCACACTTTCAGCTAGTACGTTTAGCACATTTTTATCAGAGTTTACTAATGGATAAGCCCAAGAGAGTGGAGACAGGAAAAAAAAGCGAGAAAACTGCCACTTCTCCATTTTTGCTATGTTCCCGATAATGAGAAAAACTTGATAACGTGGCAAAATTCTAGATAAACTTTTTATGGTCAAGACACAAGAGGGAATGTGATATAACATGTATCAGCCCAATAATTAAGTTTTCTTTAAGAAAAAATACACTGCGAGCAATGTCCAACTCACCAAATGACCATTTCCCCAAATGTATTTTTCAACCATTCCATTTTAATTTCATCTTGATAATAGAGTTTTAAAGAATGTTTGATCTATCTTTGCTACCGCTCCTTGGTGGCACCTTGGAGGACATTAGGGCAGAGTGAGGATGTGACTGATGAATAAAAGATGCAGGGTAGAGTGAACACACAAATAGCTTGAGATGTTGATCTCAGAAGTGGAAGCAACCAATGAGCAAAGAAGGGTAAGATTTAAAGGTATAAAAAGAGTACTGGAGGAGCACATATATATTTATATTATCCTTATATAATTTACATTAAATGTTATGTTTAAGCTGGTAATAAAGATACTTTACGTGAGACTTGCTTGCAGATGATATATCTAGGGCACTCCTGCTCTGCACCTTCGTCTCAGCCTCCCAGGTGTTAACACCCCTAGTCCACAGGTGGCAGACTCTGTGTCACCTCCTGTTCTGACATTCCAGGAGAAATGTGGTCCTTTGCACCACACTGTGGAGAACTGTGCTGTGGGGCAAGCACATGCTCATCGATTTCACATGGTGCTACGAAGAAACTCACAGGCTAGAAAGCACCCTCTGAGAATACTGTGGAACACTGTGTTAAAAAAATTCCAACATCTTTTCATTTAAAATTTAGGATTTGAAATTTATTGAAAGATGTAAGAAAATTGCCTTCCTGGTGGCACAAGGAAGCCACCACTGCACTATGAAGCTATCGGTAGCCACTGCAGCATGAGTTTGATCCCCAGCCAGGGAGATGACCCACATGGCACAGCAGGCCTCTCCTGACCCATCTGCTGCTCCCCTGAGCAGTGTACTTCAGTCAGTCTGCCCATTCTGCTCCACACTATGCCTCTAGTGAATAATTTTACTCTCCCCCTGGCACCTCTGGCTGCATCCCCAGGTCTTGTATGCATAAACAAATAAAATAAATCTTAAAAAATCAGAAAATGGGCTGCATTGTTTGATGAGTTGGTCATCAAAGTAAGCTGATAAATCAACTCAGATCCAGGATCTAGAGTTTAGCAAAGTAGAGAAGGGGATAAAGAAGCTCATGCCTTTCTTGGAAGTTAGAGGCAAGATAGGAAGAACAGATGTAAACAGTTAGGTTAGAGTGTGCTGTGTGCTTTTTACTTGAGGAGCAGAGAATGAAGAAAGCTGATCCACTTGCTGTTTACTTCTTCACCTTCATGCAGCCCATCCTCACCTAGCTCTTCTCCCTCACAGCCCTACTCTATAGACTGAATGATCATAGTCCCACAATGCCAAGTTCTCTCAGCCCTGAGACTTTGAATATGATTGGATCTACTTTGAATGCCCCTGTCCTGAGTTCTTTCTGTCTCAGCTTTGAAAGGCTTTTTGTGGGGAACTGTTAGGGTCCAAGAGGAGCCCATAATCTCCAGCTGCACATACACTTCTTATTCTGTACTAAACATGTATTTTTTCCATTTTGCTTATTAAATGTAGGTATATAAAAAATAAGACATCCCTGATAAGAAACAAAGCTAGTATGAATTGGCTTAAGTTATTGTTCAACACTTAACTTGTAGCTGAGTTCCTGAAATATGGTAAATTGCTTGAAAATACTTAGTAATGAAGGGGTGGGAGGAGGGAGCAGGGAGGAGAGAGGTGTTTTATCTTTAGTGAAGAGTTTTGTATATTGATTTTATAGTTTGCCACTTCACTGTACTGATTTATTGTTTCCAGTACATGAAAGATGTTCCCTCTAAGAAATGGAAAACACTATGTGAAGACATATTCACCCAGCACACAGGTCATGTGAGAACTGGCACTGGTAGCAATGATACAGCTACAAACTAGCCACGGGCTGATGACAACCACTGGAATGAGTCAAAGGCAAAGGGGAGGAGGTGCTTTCCACGACAGTTTTCCAAGAGAACATTGCCTTGCTGACACTTTGATTTTGTAACTCTCACCTCCAAAAATGTGAGACATGACATTTCTGTTGTTGTGAGCCACCATTTTTAAAATACTTTTATCATGAAGTTCCAAGAAACAAACATTGTCATCTTGTCATATTTTTATTAAGATGGGATACAAAGAGAAAAAAAATATGATCTGTAATTTGTGCTATTCAATTTGTGGTCTTTAAATAAAAAGCTGTCGGAAATGGCTTAGCTCGAACCTCAAGGGACATGTTTTATCTTAAAGAACCCACAAAATACAGATCAAAACAAACATGGGGAATAAGTTCCCCCATTATCTAAAAGTAAGACAATCCTATTTGATATGATTAGAGAGCTTAGGTTATTTTATTTAGCCTGGAAATTTTATTAGTACTATTAATTAATATGGGAAAATATTTGCTCATTCCTAGTTTCAAAAAATAATCTGCCAAATAATCTAAAGAACAATCTATTTTCAAGTGAGGGAAGCCTGTTATCACTTGTGATTTTGAAAGACTTACCATAACTGAAAGATAGCAAAAAAGATGAATACTGTGGTTTGAATCAAAGAATTAACCATTCTTTGGACTTTCAGGGTAGCTTCATTCTTTTCTGTTTTCACTCATCAAGCAAATATTTATGCGGAGCCTGTTATATGCTAGGTACCTTTATATTTTCAGGGATCTATTAGTTAACAAAAGAGTCACTAAAAAAAAACTTCAACAAACAATAGCCACAGCAAAATTTGCTTCTGTGGAAGTTGCAATTAAGTAGCTAGAGGACCATAATAACTGAGTAGTCTATATACTATATTAGAACATGATGGATGCTGTGAAAAATGGAAAATTATAGCAAGGTGGAGAATGGAACTGGACTTTAATTTGTTGGTATGCTCAAGAGAGGTCTCACTGAAAATGTGGCATTGGCAGAGGAAAGAATGAATCATGCATCTATCTAGGGACAAAATATCCCAGACAGGAGTCAATGAGTGCACAGACCCTGAGAAGCATGCTTGGCATATTAAAGGAGCTGCAAGAAGAGAACATCCAGAAGCATAGTAAAAGGGGGGGGGGTGCTTTGTGAAGATTAGGTCAAATAAGATCACACTGGAGTGGAGGTAAAATATTAAGACATATAGTCTGCTGCAAAGATTTTTGTTTTCATTCTGAGTGAAAGAGGAAGGCACTGGAGGATTCTGTACAGACGAGAGACCAATCTCAGGTTTATTCACAAACACTGAGAATAGGAGACAGGGCAGAAGCAGTGAGGCCAATTAAGAGGCCATTATGGTTATTCAGGTAAAAGGTGATGGTGGTGGTCAGACCAGAGTGAAGATGGAGTGTAGTGTGATTTTCTTTGCTGATAAATTTGAATTCACTTCTTATATTTTAATAATAACGGGAAGTTCTCCTTCAGAGAGATAATGAAATCTGTTTTATCACCTATAAAATAAAGGGGATGGGTTTTATAACCTTTAAAAACCATTTTAGCTTAAAATTGTAGTCTGAACATGAAACAATCAAATCCTCTACTACAGAATTCACACTTGAAAGAATTTTCCTTAAGTTAGCAAAAGTTCTCCAAAGACCTAGAGTTAATGTCCATTCCAAATAAAAGAACTGTAATTTTGATTTGGGGGAAGAATAAAATGCTTAACGGACACAGTCATCAGGATGTATTTTACTTGTGTCTTTGCTAGTTTCCAATTTTTAACAACAGACATTCATTAGAATATCCACTTCATAAAGAGATACTTCTTTGGAAAAATATTCATATGGCAAAGGTAAACCTAAATTATATAGGCTGATCAAGGACATAGACACGACTCATATCTAAAAGACCTCATAGTTGTCTACTCAGAAAACAGGCAATGACTAGAAAGAAGAAATATAGCCACATTCTAACTAGTGGCACATATTTAGTTGAATGAATGAAACTTGAGTAAATAATGGTAAAGCAGATTTGCCCCTATCATGGATTAAAAAGTTTGTCTACTTAGAAAATCTCAATGAGCTATATAAAAACTATTAAAAGTAATAAGTGTATTTATAGCTTTATATGGCATATGTTCAACACATAAAAAAACTTC